GATATGCCCACCTCACTATCATCACAATTTTTTTGTAAATCTAAAAACTACTACAGCAGTGTATTTGGGTTTTGTTTCCTTTTGAGGCGGACTTTACTATCTAGCTCAAGCTAATGAATTCATTATGCAGGCCAGGCGCATCAGGAACTCACAATCCTACATCAGTGCTGGGACTATAGGTAGAAACACCACCACAGAGCACACAGAAATTTCTTTTACACAGTAAATTACAGTAACTGAATCAAATGAATTTTACAGATACTAAATATTAATAAACATCCTTTCCCTTGAAGTAATGTTTAAGCTAAGTTTTATGAACTCCTCCTGGCGCACAGGGAAAGGAATGGGGAAACTGCAGACCCACTTCCATATGAGAAGTGAGTGTGTAAAAGATGGATTCATCTAGGGAGGAATAGACGAAAGTCATTATCTAGACTAAAACAGAATAAAGGTCATCCTTTGACGAATACTCCAGGTACTCATGAAGAAGAGAGTACCAGTTATATATAAGCTTTTACTTCCTTGGTTTCAAAATCTTCTCAACAGAAATCCTCAGTCCAATTTGAATCATTTTCCTCCAAACTTTGTTTGGAAGAAGGCAAGCTTGGCTACATGAGACCCTGACTCAAAAATATAAATAAGTCCAATTTTCTAAAATGTATTTTAATTATACCAAAGCTTTCCCACTTCATTGGTCTAAAAGCAGTGAAAATGACAAACAGGATACAGGTATCAAATATGCAATAAAGACATGAATAATCGAAAGCTTATTTATAGTACACATTCAATTTCCAAGAACAAAACAGTTTAACACAAGGTTCTGTGCCATTCATAAATATAATTGCTGGTCTTTTCAAAATAATGAACATTCTTTGATAAGAGTAGTATTAACTGTGTTTCAATAAACAAATGCAATCACAGACATTTTTTTCATATACAATGCACCATTTTATTACTTAAATTTTGAAGTATTGAGCACAACTCTTAAAAAATCATGGTTCGGTTCATAAAAACATACATTTCTAATAAGGAGTAAAGAAATCTGAGTTAGAGCATTAAAATGTCACGTTAAAAATAATCCTTGGTCTAAGTCAGCTCTGGCCAGAAGACTGATTTACTTCCCCGAGGTAAAACTGCTGAAGAATTTACTGTCTATGACACTTACACACAATGAAGGTAAGAGTTAATCACTGTGAAAAATGTATATACAGGTAATGTAACAATCCCAACAGCCTCTCAACCGCTTCCATTTCTACAACCTACATTCAACAAAAACCAGAAAATACAAATCTTATGAGCCATCATCTTTAAATGCTAAAACTCCACACTTATACCTGGTTTAACTTAACATTTTTAAGTCGTCAAATCTAAGCCCCATCAACACTTAAATTACAATTTCCTAAATGGGAAACCGAACATTGTAAATGGGAATCGAACCCTCAAGCTAAGCAGCAACTGCTCTGCAATTGGCATTCGTCTTGCGCAGGGTACTGTAGTTTTTCGCTTAAATAAAAAACAGAGCACACATTTTGCCGGCTAAGCGTAATCATCGCTCCCTCATTCAAACAGCGGCCGTCCTCCCTGTTAGTCCTGTCCTCCCGCACGTGTCTGGTGGGATCTCAGCCGAGACCCCCAGCGCCATCCAGGATGCCTCGCGGACGTGCAGGGACACCCGCCAGGCCGGGCCGCCCCGGCACAGCCCACCCCGGCGCGGCAGAGGCGGCGGCGGCCTGCTGAGTCGGGGCTCCCGCAGGGCGCCGCGGGCAGTGGGCGCGCAGGTTTGCCGTCCCCGTGGGCTCGGACACGCGGCCCGACCTCCCCGCCACCCGCCCTCCCCCGCCGCGTCCCGCGTGCCCCTCCGCACTGCGCATCCGCAGCCCCGCGCGGTCGACCGAACAGTCAGCAGCGACAGCGCGACGGACAGGGGCTAGGAACCGACCTGTGGAGACCGCCATCTTCTCCTGCTACCAGACGCAGCCGCTGCACGCAGGACGTCGCGCGTCACTTCCGTCAGCGCTCGGCTCTACGTCACAGAGGACACCCGCAAGTGGGGACGCTCCTGGGTTCCTTTGCACCCGGGCGGATTTTGCCTTTGCTGATTGCTGGGACACTTAATTCTACAATAAACGCCGAAGAAAAACCTCGGGAGGGGTTAGGAGACGAAGACAACCTTTCGCAAGAGCTTAAAAAGCCTTTTAAAAATCTGTGCGCTCTAATACTGTCTAATAATCAAGGGGGACTCCTCCAATGAATCTTTGTATTAAATATTGAAACAATGTCTAGACAAACGGTAGTAGTTACAGCACACCAAGCGTTTTATTAAGAACCAACATAAAATATGGGTATTAACTGTCTTGAAAAACAATATTCCAAAGAGTCGGAGTCACGCTAGTGCAGGCCCGCCATGTTACACTTGGGCTGTAGTGTTGCTCTGATGACATCATAACCAAAAGCAGCTTAAGGAACAACTTAGGAACTTTAGTTTATACGTTATAGTCATCAGTAAGGGAAGCCAGGGCAGAGACCCAAGGCAAGAGCTTAAATCAGAAAGAGATGGGGAAACACTGCTTAGAGCTTCCTTCCAAGCTTATGTTCACCTACCTCATTTACAGGCTCAGGCCCACTTACCTAAGGTTGGTACTACCTATACCGAGCTGGGACCTCCTACATCAACTAACAATTAAGGAACTGCCCCACAGGCTTGCCCACAGGCCCATCTGAATTAGGCAATCTTTAAACTGGGATTGCATCTCCCATTTGTGTTAGTTTGACAATCAACATTAGTCAACACGAGTTCACTCCTTGACAACTTGACAAACACATCACAGTTAAACCATAACTTTCCTTTCTTATCTGTCCTCCAAGATGCCATAAATCATAATATAAAATACAGTACAACTTTAAAAGTCTTTAAAAATTCCGTACTCTAAAAGTCTCTTTACAATATCCGAAGTTAGGTACAATAGATACCCCACATAGGCAAATAATATAGGCTACTCACAATGCTCTTGGTTACCCTTGACAACCTGACAGTAAACCCTATTGCTGAACATATCACTTGTTTATATAATTAAACAGGGAAAAATCCAGTTGGTGCTCAACTAGATGTTTCATGTCTATTAACTAGAATTTACAGTGGTATAAGGTACCAGAAAGGCTACCAGAAAATAAAGTTAACTATCAATCTCACCCAGTTATGAACACTGCAACTTACAATAATGATCTGCCTGCAATATATACCTGCTGCAGCAATACTGACAGAAATGTTATAGTAGTAACCAACCATCTTTTCCTTAATTAAAAAATTTTTGTCACGGGGCTGGAGAGATGGCTCAGCGGTTAAGAGCACTGTCTGCTCTTCCAAAGGTCCTGAGTTCAATTCCCAGCAACCACATGGTGGCTCACAACCATCTGTAATGAGGTCTGGTGCCCTCTTCTGGCCTGTAGGCATACATGTAGACAGAAATTGTATACATAATAAATAAATAAAAATATTTAAAAAAAAATTTTGTCAGGCAGGCAGTAGTGACTCATGCCTTTAATCCCAACACTCAGGAGGCAGAGGCAGGTGGATCTCTGTGGGTTCGAAACCAGCCTGGTCTACAGAAGGAGTTCCAAGACAGCCAGAGCTATGTGGAGAAACCCAGTCTCAAAAACAAACAAACAAACAAGCCGGGTGTGGGGCAAGATTTTAATCACATCACTTAGAGGACACAGACCAGCCTAGTTAACACAGTGAGTTCCTGGACAGCAATGCTGTACAGAGAAACCCTGTCTCAGAAAACAAAGCAATAAACAAACAAAAAATACAAACTAACAAAATAAAAGAAACACACACACACACAAAAATACCCTACAAAAACAGAAACTAAAATATACAAGCAAAAACTCAATAAAACAGAAAAAAAATCCCATACAAAGCAATATGAGACAAAAACTCTACAAAATCAACTTTTGGATTTGATTTGTGTTGCTTTGTTTTTGTTTTGTTTTGTTTTTTGAGACAGGGTTTCTCTGTAGCTTTGGATTTGTGTTGCCATACTACTTCTAGGCATGGGGTTTAACCCGAAGTGTGGTTAATATGCCCATTGAGACTCCACTGGAAAAAAGCAAATAGGTTTTTTAGAGCAGGTATCCGTTACAGGTAGCTTCTTGGTTAAGGGTGGGAGCCCATGCCCATTTTCCCCTCTCAGAGCTTGGATCTTTCCAGGCCATGAGTGTGTTACCACAGTCTCTGTGAGTTCATATGTGCATCGGTCCTGAGTGGTGTGGTGGTGTGAATGGAGAGATTGTACCCTTGAAACCATCCATCAACATTGGTTGATGCAATCACTCTGCATCTTATACATATATGCTTTTCCTCTATACATAAATGCCTGAGCCCCACGGGAAAAGACAAAAACAGGTGGCGGTATTTTTTCAAAGGATGCAGACAATCCTAACTAAATAGGTAGGCTTTATAGAATAAGGCAAAAACATAGGGAACTTCAAAGAATTTGTATTAACTTTTATATCAAGCTAATTAATAATTAATTATTGTGTTGCAGATATAGAATGTATAAGAAAAGCTGTGTACACATTCCACATTTTTCTTATTGTCAGTACCAGGAAATCAATGATACCCTAAGCCAGAATAATGCAGAGGAAAGAATGATATATGAGTTTATCAGAGTTTAAATTTTTAGTATTTTTCATATTGCCAGTTATTGGTAAAGTGCCTAGCTTAAAAATAACTTATTGTGTTAATTGTTGAAGATATATATGAATACATCAATCCAATGAATGAACAAATGATTAATATAAGTAGCAAACTAAGCTTGACCGACCATCAATCAGTCTTGTTCTTAAGCTGAAAGTGTATTGTCAGAGAATAACTCAAAGCAGTCTTGCTCATTCTGGTTTACTTACACATAAGGGAAACAAATCAACAGATGGATTTTATGCATTAAAGGTAAAATAAGATTTATCTAAGAGATTTATCTAAGAGAGATGAAAATGTTTAAAAATATGGACCCTTCACAAATTTGTGTGTCATCCTTGCTCGGGGGCCATGCTACTCTCTGTGTCATTCCAATTTTAGTATATGTGCCGCTGACCTGAGCACAAGACACTAGTTGTGAGTTGGGTCCAGAACAGGATAATGCTCTGTAACAAGTCCAGTCTACTATACAAGCTGTGCCACTTGGGCCATAAGATTCGGCAGAACTGATGGAACTTGAGGTATCTGTGACAGATAGGGACACTGTTTACAACATTTAAAAGAATCTGCATGTGAAACACAGCAGAGACCCATGGGAATTTGGAAAGACACATAGACTGCCATTTGTAGACATGAGACAGCTCTTACCCTTAGAGTAAACTGAGTACTTGACACCGGGCCAGTTCTTTTTGTTTGTTTGTTTGTTTTTGTTTTTGTTTTTTTGTTTTTCGAGACAGGGTTTCTCTGTGGCTTTGGAGCCTGTCCTGGAACTAGCTCTTGTAGACCAGGCTGGTCTCGAAACCAGGCCAGTTCTTATACAACCTGCACTTCCATCATGAGGTAGGCATTATCTGACCCATAATATCATACAATTGGATGTGCACAACAGTGATCCTTCATCGAATTGAAGGGGTATATATGTGATCAGGCCTGGGCACATCCTAAAGGCACAAATAAGTAACTTGAAGAAATAGCTGTTGCTACAACACTGCTACAACTGGAAGTGCATTCATTCTCCCAGAATAAATGACAAAGTTAAAAAAACTTTGTTTTCAGTTACTTGCTTTAGGCTTAAACTTGCAAACACATACAGGAGTTGAATAAAGCTTGTTACTAAATGAGTTATGTAACAGTTTTTGAGTTAGTATTTTTTAAAAGATTAAGACTTTACAATTTTATCTTTGTTAAGTTTGAGTCTTAAAAATTAGAGTTGAAGATTAATTAAAAACCCTTCAGCATCATCTCTAGGGGGTGGAGAGTTAACATTGCAACTAGACTGGTTCGGTCTCTTTGGCTAAAGGACTACGCCTTGAAAGGTAGGCTCAGCTTAATCCACGTTAAAGAGATAGGCAGAATAATTAGTCCTTTAAAGAGATACTGTATTACTGCACCCCTACCATGCTCCCCCAACTGCGGAGGCTTAAGGGCCAAAGCCATACTGGAGTGTAAGTCTCCCATTTGTAATTTTACCTTTTCTTCTCATTTCTGAGTATGTTTTCCCTAACATTTCGGGCTCCCCCTGCCCAATATTTTGCACTTCCTTTCATTTTCTCTAAAGCTTCTCTTCCCCTTGCCCCATGGCCTCTTGCCAGCCATGTGTCTAACCTCCATGTCAGTTCAAATACCCAGCTTTTTCCTTCTCCCCTCCAGGCAGCTGCTTTACTGCTTGCCTGCCTGACCATTTTCCTTTTAAACTCTAATAAAATTATCTTCATGCTTCAGAAAAAAATCCTTTAGCATCAAAATAAAACTTAAAAGCAACCAAATGCCTAAAGTTTACCAAGGTTAGCAAAGGTGGAAACTAGATAAACATCTCCAAGTCAATTACTGTTGACCTTGTTATACCTTAGAAATTTATAAACCTTATTTACCAAATATATCATATATATCAATTATGTATATAGATATACTTGATTAAATATTTATTTATTTATTATGTATACAATATTCTGTCTGTGTGTATGTCTGCAGGCCAGAAGAGAGCACCAGACCTCATTACAGATGGTTGTGAGCCACCATGTGGTTGCTGGGAATTGAACTCAGAACCTTTGGAAGAGCAGGCAATGCTCCCAACCACTGAGCCATCTCTCCAGCCCCCGATATACTTGATTATATATTTATTAAACATATATTGCTTTTATTTATAATTTTCTAGAAGCCTGGTGCTGAGCAGTTAACAAAGATATAAATGGTTAGACATACATCTCTAAGTTAGATTCTGTTAACCTGAGTATAACTTTATAATCTTAAGAATTTATTTATTATCATATAAAAGTCCATCAATCATCAAAGATATTTTAGAGACCTTTTGTTGTCTTCTCAGTCTAAAAAGTAGATACAACGATAAAACAAGAGCTCAGGAGGACTAAGAAATTTTATGAGTTGCCTTAGTTGAATTATGCTGTGGGACAATGGCCTTGTACCCTGTAAAGATTTGTCTCTTGTACTTGTTTAATAAAATGATAATTGGCCAGTAGCCAGGCAGGAAGCATAGGCAGGGTGACCAGAATAGGAGAATTCTGGGAAGAGGAAAGGTTAAGTCTGCAGTCATTACCCAGTCACAGAGGAAGCAAGATGAGAACACCTCACTGATAAAAGGTACCAAGCAATGTGTCTAACACAGACAAGAATTATGGGTTAATGGACGATGTAAGAGTTACTTAATAAGAAAGCCTCAGCTAATAGGCCAACCAATTTATAATTAATGTAGGCCTCCATGTGCTTCTTCAGGACTGAATGGCTACAGGACTGAGCAGGACAGAAACCTCTTTCAATGGAATTATACCAATGTGGTCTGCTTAAGATGCTGGTGAAGTCATAGGACATGTACCATGTGGCTATTATTTAAAATCATTTTTTATAAAACTATTTTTTAAAGAAGAGTTGAATCTAACTTACATATACAGTATATTTTTAGAATAGTTGAGTCATATACATAGTATGTTATAGCAAATTAAAATTACCTGGTATAGATTTTTTTTAATTCTAAGTCATTTGTTATGTTTCAAGTTAATTTTTTGTTAAAGATTGTATATATTGGTATAACCATACTTGCTGTGAGACAATGGACTGTACCCTGTCACTTGTATTTTAAATAAATGCTGATTAGCCAGTAGCCAGGCAGGAAGTATAGGCAGAGCAACCAGTCAGGAAGTAGAGGCGGGGCAATGAGAATACTGGGAAGAGGGAAGTTTCAGTATGCAGTTGTCACCCAGAGAAAGAGGAAGCTAGACACAGAGCAATCAAGACATGACTGCCTCGCCGAAAAAACTACCAAGCCATGTGGCTTACACAGACAAGAATTATGGGTTAACATAAGTTATAAGAGTTAATAAGAGATTCACCTGCAAACTCCATGAAATCCTGAAACTCAGCTTGTTCCAATACTGAGGGGACCCAAGAGGTGAGTGAACAGTCACATAGCTGAATGCCCTACTCTCTAGGACCTTCCAAGTGGGACAAAATCCAGGGGCTCTTCCCCAGCTCCCTCAGCTTTTATAGCCAGCCAGCAGCGAGTTCCTGGTGGCTAGGCTCCCCCCAAACCCAAACCCATGCACTGGACCCCCCAAGCTACTAACCACACCCCACCTATGAGCTGAGAGCTTGCTATAATACTGGGGGGACCAAGAGCTTACTACAGCACTGAAGGGATTAAGAGAGAGCACCAAGTGAGCAAATCAGGAGAGAATACCAAGAAAGCAGGCATCAGAGGCTTTCTGAAACAGGCATTGACAGTACAGAGCAGATCCAGAAAAACTCTCAAACACTCAGACAGCCACTGCAAGGATTGGACCAAGACACAAAGACACTGTTGGCCTCATTTGAAGGAACAGATGGGTAGGCACCAATAAAAGAATTCCTCCAACAACCTAAAAAGCAACATGATAACACAACAGGAAGACTTGATCAGCCTAACCCAGAAGAAGTAGAAGAAAACTAAACGTTACCTTACGAAAATGATGGAGACCTTTAAAGAGGAAGTGAAAAACTCCCTTAAAGAAATAGAGGAGAAAATAAACAGAAAGCTGGAAGAAATTAATAAATCCCTCAAAGAAACCCAAGAAAAAAACAATCAAACAGGTAAAGGAAACAGTTCAAGACTTGAAGATTGAAATAGAGGTAATAAAGAAAACACAACCGAGGGGATTCTGGATATGGAAAATCTGGGTAAACGAACAGGAACTAGAGAGACAAGTATAACCAACAGAGATAGAACAGATAGAAGAAAGAATCTGAGGCGCTGAAGATACTATAGAAGAAATAGACTCATTGGTCAAAGAAAACATTAAATCCAACAAATAATTAACACAAAAACATTCAGGAAATCTGGGACACCATGAAAAGACCAAACCTAAGAATTATTGGGGTGGAAGAAGAACTCCAGCTAAAAGGCACAGAAAATATATTCAACAAAATTATAGAAGAAACTTTCCCAACCTAAAGAAGGATATACCTATGAAGGTACAAGAAGCTTACAGAACACCAAATAGACTGGATCAAAAAAAAATCCCCTCACCATATAATAATCAAAACACAAAACATACAGAATAAAGAAAAATGTCAAGTAACATATAAGGGTAAACCTATCAGAGTTACACCTGATTTCTCAATGAAAACCATAAAAGCCAGAAGGTCCTGGATAGATGTGCTGCAGACACTAAGAGATCACCGACACAGGCCCAGACTACTATGCGCAGCAAAGCTTTCATTCAGCATCGGATGGACAAAACAAGATATTCCACGACAAAAACAGATTTAAATAATATGTATCCACAAACCCAGCCTTACAGAAAGTACTAGAAGGAAAATCCTAACCCAAGGAAGTTAACTACACCCACAAAAACACAAGACATCTGAGAACACAGTATAACCCAAAGAAGCAAACACACAAACACTACTACAGAAAAATAACCGGAGTTAACAACCACCAGTCATTAATATCATTTAACATCAATGGTCTCAATTCACCTGTAAAAAGACACAGGCTAAGAGAATGGATACTAAAACAGGATCCAGTATTCTGCTGTTTACAAGAAATACACCTCAACCTCAAAGACAAACACTACCTCGGAGTAAAGGGTTGGGAAAAGGTTTTCCAAGCAAATGGACCTAAGAAACAAGCGGGTGTGGCTATCCTAATATCTAATAAAATTTCAAACTAAAATTAGTCAGAAGAGATGGAGAAGGACACTATACCCATAACAGGAACAATTCATCAAGATGAAGTCTCAACCCTGAACATTTATGCTCCTAATACAAGAGCACCCACATATGTAAAAGAAACAGTACTAAAACTCAAATCACACATCAAACCCCACACACTAATAGTAGGAGACTTCAACACTCCACTCTCGCCAATGGAGAGGTCAACCAGACAGAAACTTAACAGAGAAATAAGAGAACTA